TTCGTGAACAATGCAACAGTTATGCGCGAGTAAGACGCAAAAAGTATAGACACGGTACGGACACGGGCCTGTACTTCGTACACGTGGAATCGTTCAAAATAAAATCAAGGCTCTCAAATTTCTCGTTTTATATATTATAATACTTTTGCTTTTTTTCAGAGGAAATTTCGTATTTTTTGAATAAGGCTCGCACTTACTCATGCGAGCGTACTCACACTTACGAAAAATGGGGTAAGTTGTGTACAAAAATGATTTCTTTTGCCGTACACTCAGCATTATTTCTTATATTTTATACACTTCTCAGTTGACTATTGTACTAAAATTGGGGTTCTTACGGCCGGGCCAAGTTTTCGATATGAAGACGCGGAAAAGGATAGTAAAAAAACGGGTTCTCCCGAGCAGTGAAAATAAAAAGCGATCTCCACGCTTCGAAGAGTATAGATGTGTATAAGTATCTTGACGTTGCAGCTGTACGTAGCCATAATATTACGTCTCTATATGTTTCGGTGTTAGTTTTGGAGATTTTGCCTCAAAGTATAGTGCGTCCATTGTGTCCAGCGGCGAGTTTTTCCTCCTACAATGGACTTATCGAAAGGTTACAGAAGTTTTAGGACAAAAAAATTCGTTTCATCCTTTACGTATAACTAAAATAATCCTCAGGCCAACTTTGATTTTTTATTAAATATATTGTCAAATAGCAATTTTATATTGACACAACTAGTTTAATTTTTACGTTAATATTTTCGATCGATCTTAAATTAGAAAAAAGTTATCAAACAGGATTAAAGCGGTACTTGTACACTATTTATATCCTCGCTCATCCGCATTCAACGATTAGCTTCCGCTATATGCTCAAAATATCTTTTTAAATTAATAATCTGTAGATCTAAAATTTTCACCTGTTGCAAAATTGAAAGGTTATTGGTCGATCGAGGATACATCGTATTTCACCGCCCTCAAGACCTATAAAACGCGGCCTATTTTTATGTTAATAATCACAGTTCCAGATTCTTCTCACTTATCCAGTTTGTATATCCCCCTTTTTCTATAAAAATTTTCACAAATAGCTGCACAGCGTCAAGCAAGCAGTTGGCCTTATTCAACGGTACGCGTAACAATAACATTGAATTTTACCGTACACGGGCCAGTCACGTATGCCTGCAAGAAGCATTCTAAAAATATATATAGATCATTGCAAGGATAGGATAAATCCTATATAACGCAACCCCATCAAGTTTCGACAACGATGATCCATCCTTTTTTCCCCTTTTTACCGCTTTTTTCTTCTTTTCTGCGCAAACACAAATGATGCGATGATCGAGGGGTTACGTTCCCTGTGTCATTCGCGCGCTTAAAAGATGCGAGCTGTCCGCTTCTACACAATGTTTCCCGAATTCTGGCATAGGATGAGACTTACACTTTTTCCAAATTCAATAAAATATACGCGAGGGTGATTGTCTGTACACGTTTGACGGATTGGCCACGCGGTAAGAAAAAAAGACTCTATGAACCACCTTAGCCACCTGCCGATACGATGTGTCCCTGGTGTATTATGTGTTTGGTTAGAAAAAAAGAAAATCTTACAGTTTTATCGAGAGGTGGACGTTCTCACGCTACTCTCTGCAGCGAGTGCGGACAGTAAATCGAACGAGAAAAGAGACAATAAAAAAGATAAGGATGAAAGAATTGCAGTAGAAGATTTGTACGATATCTAAACCTGCTCTTTATATTCATGTATTCTATACAAAAACAGTAAAAAAGAAACTTTTTGTTTATTTAACAAAACTAAAATTGTTCATTTTCCATAAAATTTTTCACTTTTATAAATAAAAAAAGTTACTTTCATTTATATCCTAGAGGAGATGTATCATCATCTATTTTTAATTAGTAAGAGTCATGAGTTTTAAACAAGCGTTTTCAAAAACAAATTTTGATCAATTCGATAATACATTGATGGACTATGCAAACAATATTATATTTCATTTATTAATATATAATAATATACATCATCTTGTGAAGAGCAATTGAATACAATAGTGAAATGAATTTCGAAACATCAAATCACATCTGAATGACATCATACATCTTGTTTTTTTCAAGAACCCAAGATGATGCAGAAAATCTTATAATTATTTTATTTATTCAGCTGGCATTCTAACCAACTGTTTTTTATAATTTTCAAATAGGTGTGAGACTGTAAACTTAATTTATAACATCAAATTTTAATTCTTTAATCAAATTTCATATCTTTAATCATTGTTTGAATATTTTATGTGAAAAAATTTCAATTGTAGACTGCTACACAAATATTCTTACATAAATCCAGGCTTTAAAAAGTATTTGAAAGCAGTGTAATAATATATTGCATCGTGATAAACGCAATAAAAAATCTTTTTGATGCTATGCTTTTAAACTAAGTGCGTGACTAATTACTATCAGATTTTATTCATAGCTCAATAATCCTGAAAGTCTCACCTGGCATCGGTATAAAAGTAATGCATTAAAGATTCAAAGGGATCCTTTTGAAATACATTAAGTGTCATTATAAAAAATACAAAAGCTCAAGCATTAGATTATCGAATCGCTAAGCCCGAAAACTCAATCATAAAATTTAAAATGAAAATATCCTAGTCTGAAAACACTGACAGAATAAAATAAAAATGTATACTACTCCTGCCATATCTTACTTGTTTGGAGCAATAGGACCATTAAATCTCTAAGAAGAGTCAAAGAAAAAAATTTTACCCAACGAGCGTTTCGATAAAAACCTCACGTAGCCTCGTAAAAGGCCTCATCGAATTGGCAAAATTTTATTAGGGACACGTATATCATCACTGTCTCTGTAAATAATAAAAAAAGAAAGACATCAAGAAAGGGCTTGGCCATTCGTTGACGCATACTTTGTATCTGACTACAAAGTGTTCTTCGTCGTTTGTTCGCGCCGTAAAGATGTTCACCATACGTGCCAAGCTGCATATAAGAAAAGATTTATGTACGAGCCAGCGAAAAATGACTACGTGCTACTATTATCAGTTTCATATTTAAATTTTTAGCATATCCTACATGCCAAATAATTATTAGTTGAACAATAAATGATTTTCTTCTCAATTGAACCTAAATGAAAGTATTAGTGGCATATCGCTCTCCCTTAAAATGATGCTCTGCACATGTAATGCACCTGCTTACGCGATACACCCATTTGTTGGTAGTTCAATTTATAGTTAACAATTATGTAAACAAAATTATTCTGCAACACCTGATTCAACAACTTTTTTTTGAGCCTATCGCAAAATTTCCTCACGGGGTAAGCAAAAATTGCCCGATTACAAGCCTAATTTATTATATCATGGGCTTGTTAGACACCCGACAGGCTCTCGTGAGCAGCAATGAAACAGTGTATAATCGAATGCTCTAAGCTTAATTTTAAAAAAATAAGCAGATTGCCAAAGAAATAACCATCAAAACATTTTTTGCAGCCATAAATAAAAAAGAATTTCTGCATGAGCATCAAATGTTTACGATAAGTAAAAAAAATGATTCACTCCCTTAACTATGCTAACCTCTCGAGTCAAAATTTTGCAATGTATACTTTCGATTGTACGGTGTGCTGGGCGTTTTTCGTCAGTTTCATTTGCAGTAAACGATGATAAAACATCGCAAGATCCACCTTTTCCTCACGCAAGCGCGCCCTATCATCTTCTTGCCGCTTTGCTCGCACGCACCTATAGCTCGATAATTGATATGTAGTTAACGTGAGAAAAAGAGAGAAACACATGTACCTATAAAAGGATGTGTATAGCCTTCGTTTGTATCCATAGTATTTAAAAAAAAATAGTTAATTACGAATCTCTTCTTAACTATTCTTTTATTTTATCAGGCACCTTCAGTGATATATTTTTATGCCTTTAAATAACATTTTTTGTTATTAACACAAAAATGCTTGCATTTTAAGCTTATAATTCATTTTTAAAACTCAAATTATGTAAATTAATCTTATATAATTTTTAAAAATTAAATGGATTATAAAGATATAATAAAAAATTATAAAGATAGAAGACTACGTTACTGTAATATACTTTCAATTTATTAATTTTTCTTATTTCTTTGTTTCTGTAGATAGAAAAAAAAGTTTAAAAAATTGTTGGTGAATCGTAAAATATAAATAATTGAAAAATTTAAAATCATATTTCCCGAGTTAATTCAATTATACATTTAAGAGCATCTACCAACATTAGATTATTATAATATGATGATTTTCGAAAGATTAAAGTTAAATTACATCCATAAAAATAGAAAGAACTTTATTTTTACTTTTAGACATCCGATCGTCTACATCATTTGTATTTGACTTACAAAAGAGGGCGCAAGTGAGTTGTAACTCTACATTATCATCATAAGATTGTTGAAATCTACCTACCTTATCTTCAAAGAAGTTTCATTTAATGCCGAAAACTACTTTATCATATACCACGTAGAATTATCCCTGTATTATCATTGTGAGTCTGAGAGCTAATAAGTATATGAAATAAAATCCAAGAATACGTATGACAATGGGATTTCATTTATTCGAAGTCATATTATTGTACAAAAAGTGACGATTAACATACTATTAAATTCACTCGGATCGTTAAAAATAAGGATAACCTATCTTATTGTTATTTACATGTGACTGTAAAAAAATTGATATCTATGTACATATTCAAATTGATTTGAAGGTTTACTAGTTAATAACGGTATCGCCTTCATATTCTAAATCAGTTTACAGAAAATTATGTGTCAAACATTTTTTGTCATTTACAAGATTTTTTAGAACTCATACAAATCATAATTCATATTTAAATTACTTTAAAATATTTAACGAAACATCTTATTAAACTTGCCGTAGAAACAGTATTCAACTCAAAATATATATCAAAATAAATTAAAAAATTAAAATAGCAAATTATAAAAAACGCAAACTCATACTCATTACATCATGGGTTACACATTTTATAATGCATTCAATCACATCCAAGACCTGCTGCCCAATTGCACATTCCACCAACTGGGTCGAAAGACAGTCCACTTGGACACGAATACTCTGTACCAATGGTAACTCCGTTTACAATTTTAGCACATGATATGAATTTTCTACAATTATTAGGATGAGCAAAAGTTCCTTGGTCAAGGCACTTGATGTAACCTTGGCTTGTTATTGCGATTTTGCCATCAGAAGATGTTACATATTGCGATACCTCATCATCTTCATAGTAATCATAATCTGAAACTGCGGGTTTTAACGGTTTAGATTCATGCACTCTGTACGATGATTGTGAAGCTACATTGACGGAGTCCAAATGCTTGTGTCCTTGACGCCTCTGTTCCGGGCTGATCAGCTTGTTGTTGTTCGGTACGATAAATTCTTGTAGGCTCTCAATCTCTCGCGGGGAGACCGTCGTGCTGATCCTGCGCCTGAAATTGGCGTTAACTCGGGAGAACGCTGAGTTACCTATATTGTGATATGGATTATTACAGAATTAATCAGTATTGGAAATCTTAATTGTGGTACAATACTCAATAGAATTAGCCACGTTTTTATTATGGTTTGCAGGTTAAAATATTCTGAAAAGCAGCAGAGTACAACGCAGAAAACATACCCAAAAGTATAGCCAAGAGTAGAGAGAAATGAATAGAAGCCCATTTCCATGAAGATTCACAATAAAAATATGTTTATATGGCAAAACAATGTAAGTCAGTTGTAGATCAAGAAGGAGTCAGTGATCGAAATTGAAATAACCACACCTTTGTAACGTTTGAAGAGTTAGTTCAAATTTGTCATTACCCAAGCATTGAAATGCTTGATAAGACTCAGAGACACATTTCGTTTCAAAAGTAGAAATCACTCTAATGCGACGTAATAAAACAGAACACACAACGAATTTTAAAAAATTCACAATAAAGTTACTGTACAATCGATTAAAACCAACTAAATCACATAGTATAAAATAATTTTAGCCGAGGATTCAGTACCCGAATTAGAGGTGGAGGAAATCGGTGCTTGTGCTTCGGCTAATTGAACGTCCAAATTTTGTGTATTGACATTTTGATCTGGCGCTATAGCCAGGACATGATTAGTATCCACGATGTTTCTTACGGGGTACACGTTTCTCGCCGGGGTAGTATAGACTCGATGTAGTGGTGAGTTGACTTGTTGCTGGTTAACATTCGATCCTGGGTTCCTCGACGTTTTAACCTGTTTTGATTATTGTTACTCAATATTACTAAAAAAAATTAACCCTTTAAGGTGCGTGATTTATTATTAATATTATATTCGTTTTTGAGATTTTATTTACGTTATGCATATTATAGTGTGCTTACTGAGTGATTTTATGAAACCTAATGCTTAGTTTTTATGGAATATACTTGTGCTTTGTTGAATGTTAAAACAATACAGTTTGGAATCATGTAACACCATGTAATTTGACAATATTAATTTAATCGAAGAATTATGATAAAGTCATTATTATTTACTTTTCGATTTGAGCTTTCTTCGAAAAAATTAAAAACTTAATTACTGGCACTGTCAAATATAGTTGCTTTTCTATTCCGAAAAGTAATGAAGGTTCGATGTTAAATAAAGTGTAAAGCAGTAGTCTGACAGCAAAAGTACTAGCATTACTGTCAGATGTTTTTTACCATATGCACCATTTCAAGAAAGGTAAAAAGTAGATGTTTGTTTTAATTCATCAACAGAAAGGTAGCGTTCAGTAATTTTGCCATTCACATTCACTACACATCCTCAAATCTTAAGCAGTATATTAGATTTGATATGAAGATGAATAAATAAGGCATCGCATGACGGTTATGATAGCATTTGGGCTTGCTTTAACTATTGGGGTTCCGTGGCTTCTTCTGTTTGAATTTTTTCTATCTCAACTGACCTCAGTGAAGTTCTGACCCCCGCGTGTTGCTGGGTTGACTAAATTGGTGTCTTGTTTATCAACATTCAGTGGTTTTGAAAATCGGTGACGCATGATCCTTCTACGGACAGATTTTTTCGCTTCCACATTTTTCGTAGAATGATTAATTATGGGTTGAGCAGTAGTACTGGAATCTTGACTCGTTAAAATACTTTGTCTATGAGTAAAATTTGTATTGGTATTCACAGTTGTTTTATTTAACTGATAATTATTAACAGGAATTTCTTCTGCACTGTTTTGTAGTTTACTTTTGCGTGAAGAAGCTAATGAATTACGAATTGCACTTCTCAACATTGTAATGTCGATCCTTCCATTGATATTAAAATTCTTCAAAAAATCTGACATAGTATAATTATCTTTTTTGAAAATTTTCTGATTTAGGTAATTATTATCGTACACTTCAAGTGGATTGGTATAAGTAGGAGTAGAAGTCAAAGGCAGAGTTACTCTTTCAGTTGTATCTGCTAATAGCTCGTCATTGATGGTACTACTTGAAATACTAAAACTACCGGAAACAAAACTTCTCGACTCTTGCTCTACATTACTTATGTTAGATTTTATATTTGCATTCACATTTTCCAATTCTTTAACTTTTAAACTATCGTTTTCCGAAGTTTTTGATTTATCGAAAGTTGTATCTAAGTGTTCATTTATATCAACAATTTTGAATTGCAAGAGAGAGTTGATATCAAAAACATTGAATTTACTTTCTGGTATTTGCAAATAGAAAAATTCATTTGTCGGACCATTTACCAATCTTACTGGCACTTTTATAATCCTTTCAACACTAACTTCATTCAAAGGATCATTAGATACTTGTTTCATAACCGATTCATTTCTTGAACTATTTTCTGGCTTTATGTTTTGACTAATTTCTGCAATATCTTCATTTGTGGTCAGAGATTTGGTTTCATGAAGTATTGGCGCATCGGTGACCTAAAAACATCAAATTATATCATATTTTCTGTTTTTAAAGAAAACATCATGTCCATGAAACACGTGAAGAAAAGATGCAGATTTGCAGGATATAGCGCATACAGTGAAGCCGAAGAATAAAGAAGCGCAGAAAATAAAGTTGAAGAGTAGATGACCATAGAATATATTCATAAGATCACTTAAAGCTAATTAAATCAAATGGCCTTTGGAATATTAATCTAATAAGTACATCTTAAAGAGGTATGAGATTGCTGAAAACCGATTCAATTTCTATAGTTGATGATGACTCAGGGCTGGGTTCAGTAGTAAACCTTTTGTCAATGAATTCACTTTCGATTGGTAAAGTCGACCATTCAATGTTTTGTTCTGTAGAATAACTACTGGATATTTCATTTAGACTGGCTTGTTTGTTTTTTTGTCTCTTAAGAAGTAGTGGAGAAACGGTTGTTGCTTTTGGAAGAAAAGAAGTCCCAGTGAGTGAAGAGTATTTCTTTTTTACTAAAATTCTCTGTCTTTCCGTGACATCAGACTCGGCAATCGACGTTACGAGTCTTGTGACTAGTGGTTTTGTTGTTGATGAAGGTATCGATTTTCCTCCACTCAGTTTTGGAGTAGTACGTTGTAATTGGCTTCCCCTCTTCATGGCATCGGCAAAATAATCGAATTTTTTCGTGGGTATTAATGACTCTGGTGTAGTTTTTTCAGTTGTGCTTGTCATAGATTTTGACACATATCGCGATGTGCCATTACTTTTATGAGTAAAATTTTTAAATTTATCTTCTTTTTCATCTTTTTGTGTAAACCTAGTCCTAGATTGTCTAACTTCAGATGTTTTATTGTTTTTAGCATCTAACGGTGTAGATTTTACACGATTATTATTGTTGGAAAATCCAGGAGGATCAGAGGGTTCTAAATCTTCGAACTCCAACCCAGAATTTTCATAAAATCCTCGAATATCATAACTTTCATCTCCTTTGAATTGAGTTTCTTGAATTTTATCCCCCGAAGTACGATATCGCTCTAATAAATTTCTTCTTTTTTCATGCGTTGTATGTACACTTGTAGGAGTAGTTATGGCATAATCTGATTTTGTAACATATCTGCTACTTGGCGACCTAGAAGTTAGAGTATAGCTATCACTAAATGTTGCTTTTTTACTATCATCTTCGCTGGAATTTGGAAGTTGATCTGCTGGAGGTCTCAATCTTCGGGCAGCTGTATTCTGCCTAGCATTTACATTATCTGATGTTGTTTTTGGAATCGGAGAAGTAGAGGAAATTTTCCTCACAGAACTGTCTTTTGTAAACCTTGAGATGCCTGAACTAATTCTAGCGCTAGGAGTTGACGATTGAAAGTCGTTATTTATTGTAGTGTCCAAAATTGTAGTTCTAGACTCATCATTGAAATTCCTAAGAGTTGAACCATAATTTTTCCATGAAATTGGTGGTGCTGTCGTTTGGAGAGAAGATTCCATTATATTAAATGTTTCCTCTTCAAATCCAAAAGTTGTTGTTTCTAATGCGCCTATATTTTTTACGTCAATCACGAATGGTGATTTATCAGTTGACCAAACGAAATCTGTATATTTCTTCAAAAAATCAGCATCTTGATTAGATAATATAGTTGTCGGATAAACTTGCGATGGAATTATAGTTGATGGATACCTAACAGCAGGTATTACATCATAACGTGGAGTTGTAATCGTAGTAGTGGATTTTGTTGTAGATGTATCAATTGTAGATGGAAAAGTGGATTTAGTATGACTTGTTTTTGAAAATCGTGATCTTTTATTTGAATTATCAGTAACTTGTTGGTCTGTCTTAGTTCTGGAACCTCTGAAGGAGTTTCTGTTCCGCGAAGGTATCTCAGTTGTTATTCTCACTGATTGAGTATTTTCCAAATCTCTTAAAGCTGTAGTTTTTATTGGTCTCTGTTGCTTTCTACTAGGTACATCATTATTCGATGCATTTTTGACACTCGTTTCTTGATTATTTGAGCTTCGTGAACGTATTTGAGTTCTTGAACGATTAGGACCTCGATTTGACTGCCTGGTTCTACTTGTAACTTCAGCATCTTTTTGATCCTGCAATGATGGATTAGCATCCAAATCGTCTGCTTTCCGCCTTAAATTCTCATCATTAACAGCACCTATTGACTTATCGCGAGTTCGCGTCCGCGATCTTGTACGAGTAGAAGTAGTAGAAGTAGATCTAGGTGCTGAAGTTGTAGTTGACCGTGCGATTATTCTGGATTTAGTACTCACCTTGGTTCTTGATGTTGGTTCATTTCCTACTACTGAACTACGTATTAAGTTCGAGGAAGTAGTCGGTGAAGCTGTTGTCGGTCTACCTCTTCGGTGGTAACCGAAAGGACGTGGTTGAGATACTGCTGCTAAGGTTACGCGAGAAGTTGATTCGGAAGGAGTTACGGATGGTAAGGATTCAGTGACACTATCAACTATTGTAGCAATTCTGGGAGTTGGCGTGAAGGTGGGCAAATCTTGTTTCGTCGTTGGATTAGTATTTGGAGTACTATCTTGAGGAATAGGAATAGTTGTTTTGACAGTTGTCGAGACGCTATCCGTGTAAATACGTGCAGTGGAAGGTGACTCAGTTGTAACAAAAGGTGTAATACTGATTCTACCGGTTTCACCATCAATTGAAATCATTTTTCCATCTGAAATTGAACTTTCATCGACAAATTTCGTTGTTGAAGTGGAACTGGGGAAGGTACTTCTAGGCGTTACGGATTCAGTTTCCTGATTAGATGTGACTGTAGTGCTCCGGAAACGATTGGCATTGACATATCTGAAAATATTTTTTATGCACATGAAAATTAAAATAAACGATTTTAGCCTTATATTATAATAAAATTACCTTGTTTTTGGAGTAACTTCGTCAACTTCTTCTTGTTTTGGAAGATCAGAAGATCTGAAACATTTTTCGTTTTAGAATTATATTGATACAATATTCATCGATTACATTAAAGTTATTAGAATGCATTTAAATTATTTATAACTATTGTTTTACCGAATAGTTGTTCGACGTGCACTTAAAATTGATGCCTCGTCATTATAAACTGTCTCAGTGTCTTTGATAACATTTTCAGATCTAATATTTTTATAAAAAAATAAATCAAATAAAATTGTTGTTAAAAAGTTAATAAAATAAATCAATTACCGAGATGCTTCTGTAGTAGAAGTAGTGCTTGATGGTCTTGTGCGTCTTATTGTGGCGTACCCAGGAGTAGATCTGGGAGTCGATGAGCTTTCAACTGGAACATTTCTGTTCAAGTTTTCATTCGGTAATGATTCTTCTGTATTTGAATCATCTTCATCTTCTTCATTCAACTCACTTTCGTTTGATGCTTCAGTTGACGAGCTGTTAGTTAAAAGGATTAAATAATATTAATTAATGTTAATGAACGGATTTTCAAGGAAAATGTAATATTGACTACCTATGACGTTCGATAGTAACATATTTGGGCTTAGACGACCGTCGTAAACTCTTAACTTCAGGAACCTCATCTAAACCTTCAAATTGTGTCCTACCAGGACCATTCATAAATTTAGATCTTGATTTGTTTCGTACAATTTTTTCCTCCTCTACAGATTCTAATTCTTCTGGGTCTTCTTTTGAAAATTTAACAGTTCTGTCGTTCAAAGTTTTTGCGTTAAAATAATTTTTTTTACTTGATTGTTGACTCAAAACTCTGTCATATAAACTTTTACTAATTGTAGGTGGAGTTTGATCATTTACTTGATCAGCTGAACCTTTTTCTTGGATTGCTAGTTGCTTTTCAAGTTGCTCGATTCCACCTGCGATAAAGTATAGTTAATGTTTTTAATTTCAAGATTTTTTATTAAAATAATAATAATTACCAGCTTTTTTTATAAGATCAATAAGCTCTTTTATTACTCGTGGATCTTGTTCGTCTTCAGGAAGATCTTCAATAATTGCTTTAGGAGCTTGTGTGCTTGAGGGTAATTCTGTCGTGGAAGAACTTGCAGGTCGGCTTCTATTAATAGTTTTGTATAATAAAGACCTTGCAGTTGTAGTAGTTATTTTTTTAGGTTTTTCTGGCTCAACTTTTTCTTCTTCTACTTCTTCAATATCTTCTTCATCTTCATAAATTACATCTTCTTCAACAAAATCTTCTTCAACTGGTTCTTTTGTAGTTGTAGTTGTTCGTTGAGTTGTAGTAGTTGTTGTGGTTGGTTTAGCTTTATTACAAACTACATTCCTTGGATAGTCACAAGAATCAGATAGTTTATTAAAAACAAGACCTAAAAATTATATAAATTCAAGCTCAATTACAGAATTAAGTTTTAAACATATATTCTACTTTAACAATGCTAATGTTAATTTCAAACCTGAGGGACAATTAAATTGATTTGCAACAATTCCCAGACCACTCGGACCACTGTCCAGACACCAGAAATATTTTTTACAGTCTCTGGGATGAGGGAAAAATCCTTCATCTTCGCATTTGAAATCTGAAGTTTTTGAAACATAATTATTAATAAATTTTAGCAGCGTGATTCTAAGAAAACACCGAAGGGAAACTAAAATTGAAATTTTTCAAAATATTTTCTAAAATTTCAATTAAATATTTCTCAAAATAGCTACACAAATGTTTGGCGAAAACAAAGTGGAGACATTCATGTGGGTTTATGGAAAAATATTCAATGAACATTTTGGACGAATTTGAAAATTTTCATTTTTACCTTACCTTTAATATCTCCATAATTTTTAATTTTACTTACCGCTTCCAGGATCCGGAGTTGTAGGTGGCGCTGGAGTAGTTGTAGTTTTCTTATTTGAGGTCACAGCCTTTTGGTTTGTAGAAGTTCTAGTTGGTGGTTTTCTTTTGTTATCTCTGTCGTTATTACTTAATCGAGTTCTGAAACGATTTTGATTTGTAATTGTTTGAGTTTTTGTAGCTCTGTTGGGATATCTAGATGTTTTGATATTTTCGCTAGTATCAGCATTGCCATCGATAACTTCATCATCAATTGGCTCCGGTGTTGAAGGACGCGTTCTTGTTCTAGTTCCAGTTCTTGATTGCTGCGATCTTCTTGGCGATGAGGGTCGAGGAGTAGTAGTCGTCGTTCTCTTATTAGAGCTTCCACCGCTATTGCGGTTGACTGATTTTTTATTTTCTGGCACTCGTGGTCTCTTTTTGCTACTAACGGAATTTGGCCTGTCGTCTTCATTATCCTTGCTGCAAGCAAATAAATTAATGAGAAAACAAAGCTTCAATATATATTCTATTAAATCTACTGAATATTTACTCATTGTCTTCGAGCAATGCCTCTTTCGCCGCTTCAATTAATGGGTAAGGTTTACCATGGCATTTACCACGGAAATCATCATTATCAATTGACCAAAACATGATTCCACCTAGTTTTTGCTCGTTTACAAACTTTGATTTTTTTCTTACAATGTCTTCGTCGTCATAGCCTACCCATTGATTATCTTTGAATGCATATGGACCCATGGCATTGGGATTAGGATTTTCTACAGTCCAATCATTTTTATCAATATTTTCACAGATCTGAAATCATGAAAAGTGTATGCCATTATATTTATTTTTATTTGATTTTATAAAGTTATGAAATATTTTATACCTCATAATAAGCTAAATAACCCTTTTCTCTCGTAGCTTCACCTTCTTCACCTGGCCCATCAGCAGGAGCTCCAAGTTCAGTGGCATCAGCATTTATAAGAGTATACGATCTTCCATATGTTGGTATACCGACTACTATCTTGTCGGCTGTTGCACCGTTTTGAGTCAAGTATTTAATTGTGTAAGCCTTTATAAAATTTAATTTTAAATTAACATTTTACTTTAATTGTAATGTATAGATACGATGAAATATGTAACCTACAATAGTCAATTCATTATCATAGTTATACTCGTTATCTTCCTCTAAACCATAGAGAGGAGCATGATGATTAGCTGCAGGCTCATATGCAGAATGATAATCATACGACAGTAAATTGAAAAAATCCAAGTATTCGTTCAATCTTGGTATATCGTATCCTTTTTCGAGAGTTTCAATACCTGCCGGTATAGCCATTGTTAATAATAATCTTGGCTTCCCTGTTTTCGAGGATTCTTTATCAAATTCTTCGCGTAATTCCTACAAAACCCATTTTGACATTATATAAATGTTTTTATTTTATTAGCGTTATTGCTAAGCGGATACATTACCTGAACTAGAGTCGCATAATTATCTTTATCTCGGGGTTTTCCTCCATCTCTATGAGCAGGATATTCCCAATCAAGATCAAGTCCATCGAAACGATTTTGACGAAGGAATTTCACAGCACTTTTGACAAATTGCTTTCTCTTTTGTGCATCGGCTACCATAGGCGAAAATCGTTTTGAACCCTCATTCCAACCCCCAACAGCCAACAGAGTTTTTAAATTCTTGTTATATGTTTTTAAGCCATTGAATTTTGCATAACCACCTTGAAAGATCAAAAAAATCAAAATAACATAAGTAATTAAGTATTTTTTATGTACCCGAACAGAAATGCTTAACATTAATTATCGGTCCACCGCTAGATGGCATGTACTTTTATCTGTAAATCTGCAAGAGGTAAAGTGAAACTATTTTTTATAAACAAAGCACCGGTCGTTTAAATATCTATAGACAATAAAGTCTTTACTGTTTATTGAAACTGTGTTGAAGTGGTAATTTTTGGTATTTTATATGGCCAAGAAATGATGATTGAATAGAAATAAAAAACATATTTTTGTTAGCCAAAAACCAGTCACAAAGTGTTGAGCATTTCTACCAGAGTAAAATAAGTCTTTAATTATGCTTACCTTTATCAACATCTTGATACTTATCGAATGGTTTTAAAGCATTTTCTTTTGTAAACCCACCAAAGGCGTAAATTAAGTGGGTACATAGATAAGGATTGATGTTGTCAGGTTGAAATTTTGCTGTTCCTGGTCTGTATACGGACCAATTTGTATAGTAGCAAACGACGCGTTTTTCATCATTGTCTAAAAATTTTAATTCGGCGTGAATAAAAAATGTTTTAATAAGAAAATATCTAGTTTTGCATCACAACTATAAACTGCATTAACGTTATAAATGAATGCTCATATTAAAGTACATATATATACTTTAATATCAGCCCATCATAAAGTTTCGTATATGAATCCACGTTATAGAATTTTAGTAATAAAAGATTGACGGAGTTTTTTACTACAATAAACGAGCTATGATGAAATACTGTGAATTAATTCGCTAAAAATTAAGATACTTACCACTTCTTACGCCAGATGTAAGCAGAATCAGTAGTATAACGTTCGATCCCACTAGCACCTTCTGTAAAATAAAATAAAAATTGTTGAGGTTAATGAAGTTGTATGATCGAAATGAAAAACGATCAATTTTATGTTTTTATTTGTTAATCGTATCAATTTATTTCAAATTGTTTATGCATAAAATAACCAGCTTTCTAGAGCGAATATGGAGTACAGGAAAAATCTCCTATGATTTAAAAATGTGGCATGAATTAATACCAGTATACGTTCAAATTCAGTCAATTAATTTCGTAACTGAAAATGTTCAACTTTTTACAACTAAAATTTCATGTGGGGAGCTTTTTCATTATGTTATAAAATAATCTTACGAATAAATATTATTAAATGCAATAATCTCTATGTACGTGCAAAAGTCATCGTCTTTCGATTTTGAATATCCCATCTATCATGTTGAGCAATAATTTATAAATTTGTCTGTAATAATATGAATATGCAGACACCTCGGGTGATATAAGTACTTGACACTTGTGAATAAATGTAAAAATCTCATGCCCAAAGAGCAGAGCTTATCCAACTTATTAATCGGTCTACTTTGAGGGTATGAAATACATAACGCACGCTTGATACTCGGAGAAAGCTTTTCGAAGCAACGATTCTTGTTATTTTTTTTCGAGTCCGACCGCAGATGAATATAAACATCGACCGCCGGGAGCTACTTGATGATTTAACGCAAAAAAAGACTTTGAGTACGACTCCATAGCAATAAACGTCAACTTGCTAGGTGGTACACGAGTTGGGTAATCTATATTCTGATTTGCAACGTAAATGTATACACACAAAACTCTTCGAGCGTATTACTTGAGAGCTCGAGCCACCCAGAATGTAAATAGTTAATCGTGTTATTTCAATTCATAACCACTAAAGGCTTTGCTATAAAATTTATTCGATACAGCGAGTTACGATTGTAATTCCATCGAGTACGACTTGGGTAAATACACCGACGCGCAAATGTTTCGCAACCGTATTCAGTATACGTTTTAACAACAAATAATGATAACGATGAAAAAAGAGTCCACACACGTCTGGCGAACTTCACGCCTTGCCAAGTCGTAGTAGTATTAATTACAACTTTATGACGCGCCGATCTATTTCCGTGTAAGTGTAAATCGTAACAATAGCTATACAGCACGCGCTGGCTGCTGCTGCTGCTGTTATAGTATATCCTAGCGACAGAGTATTACGAAAAATGCGGTACAGAATATACAAGCTGGAAATATATGATCCTTTAGAAAGTCTTAAAAATGGTCGACACGTATATCTCTATGTATAATGCTTTGGTATCTTCGAATTGATTGCAGTCTGAAAACCACACCCCGCATTTGTGTCACGTGTACTTCGCAATAAACAATAACGTATCATTATACAAAGGTATGTATCTGACTAAAATACCATTACTTCGTATTAAATAGAAAAAAATAAGCAGCTAAGCAGCAAATGATATTATAATGCAACGTATTTAAATGTAATGTGGAGTAAAGGTGGAAAAGAAGGAAAGGGTACGATTTTTCAACTATCTCCTGGAAAGGTGGATGAAGTGCAGTGAGTGTACGTATGTGTACCATACTTTCCCGCGGCTACTGTGATATACATATAATGTGTGTATAATGCAGGCTGCACGCGCGACATCGACATAACGCCGCGCCTCGCACGCGTAACGTAACGACCCGCGCGCGACTACCAGTACCTACCGTAATAGTGCGTATGTGACTTTGACGCGTGTACTTATTATTAAGCCACACATGCATGTCTGTGTGTGTGTACGTCTCTTGGCAAGGATTACGTATTGTGTACTACTAACGACGGCTGCCACACAAACGTGCTTGAATATACACGTTTCGCGAGATGAATCGCGCGTTATATACGCGGGCGCAAAAACACCTGTGACCTCCAAACGAGGCGGCTTGCGAGATCGGAAGCCTTTTTTGCATTCGTATATAAGAAAGAATAGATTTAATTAATGGCACAATGACAGAAGTCTTTGCGATTGTTTAAATACCTTCTTCTTAAGTGGAAGCGCGAGCGTAAATATATCGTGGGTGCAAAAATTTACATTCCAAGTTCCTGCGTGTTTGCTCGTATCCATAGGACGCTTAGCGTTACTCTTACGTTGCTGCAAATGACTCTATCTCCACACACGTACAGTGGCACTAGCATAAGAGAGAGAGGCCTCTGGTAATTATCTCTCAAAGCGAGAACCCCATGTATATATATGGGAATTGCTGATTGCAAAGTTTATAATAGATCGTTGTTGTTACACTTGCTGCTCGAAAATTAATGCGCCAATTACCGAACATTGAGAAAAGTCTCCCCCCGTCTCTTATAATGGGAGAATTCATATAATGCTTGTTCCTACATTACGAGCACAGCCATATAGCTACGACATACAAAACGTATTTTATCGCGTCGCAGATTCAATGTTTCGCATTACGATTTGCATTTGCGCGCTTACTTTTACATCCTCAAGGTTAAGGGAAATTCTTGTTTGCAGCGTTTGTTGATCATTACTACATGTTTGTCAGCGGCTGTATGCAGTTGCTGCTGTGCTCCGCGAACAAACGAGGAATCGAATCCGCCAGATCAATCGGTATTTCGTCGGTATTTAGCAATTCTCGAATAGGCATGTTTATAATGCAACTAGGGCATCGTCGATAGTAGTGTTAATTATTCACTGGCGCTTCCGGACGGAACGAGTAGCCATTACGGCTGATGTACAGTAAGTATGAAATGTTTTTTAATTAGATACATCTTGCATCCTTTGTAGATAACGAAAAAAAACTAACCTTGAATAAGTATAAAGAAGAATAATAGGTGTGAAATCCTAATTTTTTTACCACTAACTCGAAAAAAATTTGAAAATTTGAACTATCATACGTCTTTTCGGTAATCATGTGATTTTGGAAATAACACGACTTACCAAACATTTTTGAAACATAAAAATATGATACAATTGAAATGGCGAAATTATTTAAAAATCGAATCTCAAAGGTTAAAGACATAAGACGGACAACATTTTTCTACAACAGGTAAGATTCTCAATTTATTTTATTTTAATTTTAGCCAAACTTATTTTTTTTTTTAGGTTTTTTAAAAATAAAGTTGCCTCGAAAGTTGAATAACTAATTCGTCGAATCCGCGTGCGACTTGAAAATCTGGTTTCGTGTTTAAAATTTTTTCTTACTTTAATTCCGGCTACAATTATCCTTCCACGCGTACCCACAAATTTATCTGTGCAGCTTATATGAAACTCAAAAGAACAGAATGTGGAAAATGACGATATTGTCTGAGCTCTCTTGTTTTAAACTTGTTTTATAAAATAACCGGAATCAGGCGGTATACAAAAAAGGATTTTAGTCTTTGACCTCTGCTGACGTGGTAAGATTTAATGCACTAACGAGCCCACAATACTCAATTGCAATACTTCAATTCATATTTATTTGTGAAGCGAACTTTAAAAGTCAAGGTTTACATACATTTACGTCTGTCTACAAAATTTAATTTGATTATACCATGAATTAATCTAGCGCGATCAAATTTTCTCGATTTATTTGACATGCCTTGTTCAAATTAGAAATGCATCCCACAAAATCTTTCGTCATTATATTATTTGTTCTCCAAGCTTAATTTTTTATTCTGAAACTTCCCACTTGGCTTCAAGCACCACACCCGTCTCGCTTACTCCGCAATACTTTTTCTTTATTTTCACGTCCGTGCATGTCTCGGGTATATGAGTTTGTCGAGTACATTACAATAGAAACATTTTTTGAATGTAAAATGGGCGCACACCCCAGCCTCACGATGCATAAAAATATGTCTTGTGTACGAGTGCGAGCGTTAAAACAATACTCGCACGTAAATTACCGACTTTGCCAGACTCGAGAGTCGAGGAAACCTGTGCAGCACGTTTCCAACCGCTCGTGAGTGAAAGAGCAAAAAAATGTCTCTACTTTGGAGCAGTTGATAAAACCTTTTCTCACACCCATGTATTTATTCGGATTATCTAAACGGATGTGACCGCAGTTTGGATATTTAATAAGTGCTAAAAA